AGGCCCCCCCAGGAGGACTGCAACATCAGCCCCCCTGAAAAATTCGCTATCCAAGGGTAAGAGTTTTGGCACATAGTTGAGGCCTTTGACTCTTACTGCAAACACCCGGTGCGGGATATTCAGGTGAGATGGGTTTGGTGGATCTCAGCATGTCCCCTAAATCCATATCAGCTAGAGTCTAGCACTGTCCTCCATCAGTGCAGGACCCCCCTGCCCATGCAATAATGAAGGCGAGGAAAGAAGTGCATGTACAGGGGCTCTGTGCGGAGGGTTGTGCGCACAGGGCTGCAGAGGGCGTGGGATTCCACACTCCTGCTCCTCAAGGTGGAATTTGCCCAGCCAGCCTGAATCAGTCAAACTGGGGATCACTTCAGACTGCCATTAATTAAATGAAATTGGTCAGGGGAACTGTGTGTGGGTCAAAGGGAGAGAGAGACCATGACTAGTGAGACAAGAAGGAAAGAGAGAAAGTGAAGAGGAGAGAAGGGCGCTGTTTTCGGCACCTCCTTCAGACACAGCAGCTCAGCTTCCCAGGACAGGCAGAGAAAGTGGTGGGGAGAGCTCACAATGAGAACGGGCCGAAATTTTTCAGATGATTTTTTGTTGTTGAAAAACGCAGACTCGGATCAACCAAAACATTTCACAAATGTGTGTGAAATTCACCAAATGGTTTTGGGCAGAAAAAAAATGGGCAACAAAACAGAAGGTTTTCTTTCGACATTTCCTAAATGGAAGGTTCCATTTTTCAATTCAAAACAACTCCTCATTTACAATTTCCCTTCAATTCTATTTAAAAAGATTAAAGCAGCTCAAAAGTGAAATGGTTCAGTCACTCCCAAACAATTGTTTTTTGAAGTTTCTGGTACGGCCAGGGAACCAGGAAATCAGTTATTCACACAGCTCTACTCACGTTCTCCATCCCCCACGGGATGCACCTCGGTGCCTGCCCTCACGATGCCTCCTTTGGCCATCACCTGCCGCAAAGAAGAAACCCTCCTGTTACGGGGTCCTGGTGGGAGGTGGGAGATGCTCACGGGGGAATGCTCAGGGTGGGGGGTGTCTATACTGATGCCTTCCTGTGGGGAACGAGCAGAAAATCCCGCAGAGCCATACAGAGTCCCAGACACAGACTGGAGTTTACCGGGACCTCAACCAAGTCAGAAATTCTCTCTCCCAGCAGAAACCATCCACTGGCTGGCCAGTTCTGCATTTCCTTCACTGGCTTTTACATGTAAATGTCAAGGTCAAGAGAACCTGGCCTCGGGGCACTTTGGTGACCTGGGACATATATGGGTGTCTGGCCACCAGTGCTGTGTCATGTGTACGGAGGTAGAGGTCACTAGGTCCGGGCTTACCACATAGTAAAAGACGATTTCCTTCTGCTCCCCCACGGCCTCTGGCTTCAGGATGTAGTGCACCCGGACCATCTCATTGGAGCCGCAGCTTAAAGTCTGAGACAGGGGCTCGATTTTGAGAAAGCTCTTACTCGGAGAGTAAAAGCGTGTTGCTGTGTGAACGGCGTTACCATACTCAGGGGTGACCCAGTCTCTGTCGTAACAGTTCAGTTCAGATTTATGGTTTGCCTGATAAAGAAGAACGTTTTTACATCAGACCAAAAAGTCTACTAGCATTTCAAAAGGAAAAAGTGGGTAATTTTAAAAACATGTTCTTGGCAGATTTTTCAGTGCACAGTGCATTGATCTGCATTTTCCTTGCTTGTATGGAGAGAGAGAAATGGAGAACCAGAGGGAGAGCGACAGAGTGTGTGCAAGACACAGAGTGCAAGGGACAGACAGAGAGAGAGCAAGACAGAGAGGAGGAGACTGAAATTCCCAGCCAACAAACTCTTTCTTTTATCTCCTGATGGGCAGAGAGATCAATAAAACCACAGACATCTCCCCTGAAGCTCAGCCTGTGACACCTCCCATCCCCTAGCTCCCTGGATTCAGCCACTCACGGTGATTTGAATGGAGGTGTCTGTGAAGTTGATAGTGTCTATGGAAAACCAGACTCTACCCTCTTCATTCGTTGTGTAGTTGGCTTCGTAGTTGTTTCCCCCTATGGAAATCCGGATTGTTTCGTTGGCGATTGGAGCATCGGTCCCATCCACCAGCTTCACCTAAAGGAACAAATCCAATCTCCGTTGCTTATATGAGGAAGGGAAAGCAGTCCTCACAGTCCTAATGACCCTTTGCCCACGTTATTCCCATGAAGCAGCTCCAGAGGGTGTTTCCTACAGAGCTGACCAAGGGCCAGGTGTGTATGAATGTGCTGGGAGAGTCTGAACCACCTGAGGAGGTGGCGCGTCCTCACAGAGTGTGTGATTGGGAACATGGGAAGGACTGTGCTGACCACACCAATGGGCCTTCTCCTCTGTATCTTGTCTCTGACAGCACCAGGGGGTCCGAGGAAGGCACTGCAATTCCCACTAATGGCAAGGATACCGCAGCATGTGTAGAGGCAGAGGGAGATGGCTCCTGTTCCCATGGTTTGTGATCCTCCCACATTTTCCCTTTTCCATTTGCAAGTTCTCATTCTCCACAGACAAGCACACTCATGTCAGATAATTTCCTGGGCTCTCAGAGGTTCCCTACCTGCCCGGAGAAGGGGATCCCTGGTAGGTAATGAGAGTCCACCTGCTCAAAGCTGATTTTGCTCATGGTGCCTGTGATCTCACTGGAGCCTGTCCCAGTTAACTCCACCCCTGAAAGAAAACACAGCAAAGAGGGGCTTGAACTAATGCACTGACCTGCAGCACCTCCAGATGCTCCAATCCTGCCCCACGTTGTTCAGTTCTGCCAGTGCCCTTCAGTGCTGGCTTGCAACGCCCACTGCTATTGCAGTGCGGCCCCACAGCTCCAGCAGGTCAGCATGATGCATACCTGTACCCTCTTCCGTGATCTTGCCTTCAACCTCAATTTTCATCTCATAATCCTTTCGCTTGAGCTGGAATATTTTAGTCTTCACCACATTGGAGACACAGCCTCGAACGTCCGCCTGAGCCAGAGACCAAAGAGGAAATTACCAGGGAAATCCCTGTACAATTCAGGTCCGTGTGAAACAGGAACAGATACCCCAGCACCCAAGACATTTGCCTACTGCTTGGTTTGCCTTAATGCCATCCTCTTACTGGCTTGATCCGGCCTGACTTCCTCTCTTCCCTTCTTCCTCAACAAACCAATCAAGGCATCTCTGGTCCCCAGTGACATATCCAACATGCTGCCCTCTCTGATGCACTTCACCCCAAATTCTCCAAGTTACACACCTGGTTCCCTGATTGTTCAGATTAGATCCCCTAGATCTGCAACTTCCCATTAGTGTGATAAATCTCATTGTGTCTTTTATCCACCCTTGGAATCCTCTCTCTTTCTCCATGCACATTCTTTCTTCTTCCTCCTTCTCTCTTTCTTTCTCCTCCTACTATCTCTGTCTAACCTACCTCTATTTTCTCTCTTACTTTCTTCTCCTTCATATTCTCCGTCTCTCTCTTTATTGCTCTATCCCTATTCTCTCTACCTCCTTGCCCTGTCTCTTTTTCTTCTTCCTCTTGAGCTCTCTCTCTCTTCCAGATTCTACAGTTCCCTCTTACTTTCTCCTCTGCTCTGCTCCCACTCCCCTCCCCATCTCATTCCTGTTCACTGATACAAAAACCTCTTAGGGTCTTCTCTTTCCCAGCTAGAAGAAATACCCATTCGGGGGTGAATCCTGACCTGACTGATGTCAATGGGAGTTTTGCCATTGATTTCAATGGGGCCAGGATTTCACCCAAGGGGTTTTTCTTCATAATTTATATCCCCCAGCTCTGGCCTCACCTCCTTCGAACCAATACCTCCCTCCTGTGAGACAGAGCCAAACTCCGAACACAGAATCCCAGCTGAGGTCTAACAATCCTCTTTGACAGACACAGATCGCCCTCCTCCTGACTGTGAATGGCTAGCCAACTACAAAAGCAATTTCTCCTCCCTTGGTGTTCACACCTCAACTGCTAGCAGAGGACCTCACCCTCCCTGATTGAACTAACCTTGTTATCTCCAGACTGATTCTTGCCTGCATATTTATATGTGCCTCTGGAAATTTCCATTATATGCGTCTGACCAAGTGGGTATTCACCCACGAAAGCTTATGCTCCAATACATCTGTTAGTCTTAAAGGTGCCACGGGACTCTCTGTTGCTCCTCAAGACAGTCGCCTCCTGCCTATGGGATGGGCCTTGGACTCACCTGTCTGGTGAATTCCTCACACACAGACTCGGCCTCTCTTCCATAGCAGTGTGACCTGGACTGGGAGAATCTCCGGCACACACGGACATTCACCAGGCTGGGGACAGGGGTCCCATAGGTGTATCTGTAACCAGAGAGGGGTTAAAGAGACACAAGGTGCTTAGACGGGGAGACAGAGTCAGGCAAAAGAGGCCTTTTGGAGCCCTTTATACCATTATACAGGGGGGAGGGATAGCTCAGTGGTTTGAGCATTGGCCTGCTAAACCCAGGGTTGTGAGTTCAATCGTTGAGGGGGTCACTTGGGGATCTGGGGCAAAATCAGTACTTGATCCTGCTAGTGAAGGCAGGGGGCTGGACTCAATGACCTTTCAAGGTCCCTTCCAGTTCTAGGAGATGGGATATCTCCATTATATATTTTTTATTATTATTACCCCCAAGGACTCTGTTGCTGGTTTCCTAATGTCTATTCTCTGGAGCGTTGTCTAGTCCTGTTTTCCAATGACTCCAGTGATGGGACTCCAGCCATTTCCTGGGGGAGATTATTCCATTACCCAGCAGGCCTGCCCCATTAGGAAATGTTGCCTGATACTCAGGCTCCTCTCCTCCTTAATCAGTTGAATTTCCCTTCTCCCAGCTCCCTCCCATTTGGCCACACCTTTCTGGTACGGAAGAGCCCAGACCTGCAGACAATATTCCAGGTGCAGTCTCCTCAGAGCTGTGGGGCCCAGAGCTGAACACTGTCTTCCAGGTGGGGTCGCACTAAGGCTGTATAGAGAGGGATTATCATCTCCTGTCACTGCTACACGACACCTCTGGAGCACTGTTTTCAGCTCCGGGCACCTCTTTACGCGAAAGCTATTGACAAATTGGAGGGTGTTCAGAGAAGAGCA